TCACTTATAANACCCTAGACTTTATGCTTGATGAGAGTTATGAATTGTCAAATGGAACATACACGACTAAGACGAAGTGTGAAAGCATGGCGCAATCCCAACGAATTGATTATTTTTGAATAATTCTCCCTTATGCTCTTTCTTCTTCTGTTCTACGTGGAAGTTACCCTAGTGCTTATTGATGACGGAGTTCCTCGGAAGATCCGCTTCTACTATGAACGCATTTCACTTATAAACGCTTATCCCGGCTTTAGTAGGGTTTAGCCTGAAAAACCGCTTTCACGTTTACAGCACTTACCCCAGCTTTGGTTAGATTTAGCCGGACAAACCGCTTATGACGACCAGGACTACTCCGTAGATTGCTTCTAGTTCTGAGTAGCTATACTTACGGATACTACGTACGTAATGATAAACTATGGTAATCAGCGAGTGACCACATCGGAATTAGCTTTATTTCGGGCTCTGACGTGAAGTAGCTGCTCTTGCAGACGTGCATACTAGGCTAAAGATCAGTCCCTACAAACAGGATCCTTACCCGAATTCCTTCTCTCCCCTCCCAGTTCTCCCCTCTACGACCCGATCCCGAGCACGATTCCAAACGGAAGGGTTTGTAAAAGGAACCATGACGGGAGGCTTCTTACAACACTTTGTACATGTAGCTGCATATTGCAGAGTAGAAATATGAGCTTTCCTCTTGGAATTCGCTGCTCGTACGTCAACGATCACTTTTTTACTCGAGTTTTTCTTAGTTGAAGAAGGAACAGCTGTTCAAGTCTGTATTCGTCTCTTCAAATTCTTCACCAGGTGTACAAGACGTCATTTTGGCCGTTCTTAACATATCACTAGCGGGAATCCTGAGAGGTTGCCTGGTCTAGTTTCATTGCTGGGGTGGTTCCTGGTTATCTGGGAGGATTGGAACTCACGAACATGTGTGCGGAAGAAGTTTAAACTACCTTGGTGCAATTGCTTGAAAGAAATTGAATTGGTCCGAGATTGTCTGAAATCTGCAAAATGGCCTATTAAATCGCTCAAGAAGATCCATTTTCAAGTTCAAAACGACGTAAGCTACTCCAGCTATGTTGATGGGATACCGGAGATCACCTCAAGTTCGTCTTCGTAGGGTACACCCTGAGTAGGCACCCCAGCAGGCCCCTAGGAGGGAGTACAAAGGATATAGAGGTGAAATGCTCAAAATAGTACGATAGTTCAGGGCATACAAATCCCTACTTTCTGTCGAACAGAATGGTCAGCTGCTGAGTCGTTCGTAACCCAGCTTCCACTACCCTCTATTCCAAAAGATAAGCAGTCTCCACTGTGCTCCAGTACTCAGAAAGAGTTCTTCACGTACCTTTTTCCGATCCAGTTAGTTTTTTTTTGCATTTCGGACCATTTCTGTCCCTGGACGGTGTTCAATTACGGGATTCTATACTATTATCTTCGAGAAAAGCCGAGCATGAACATCCTTTCCTCGTTATTCTCATATGGCACTTTGCCAACTTGTGTTCGCCGTTTCGTTTTGGCTTGATACGTAATCTGTTGTCGAGGATATTAAACTTCGGTACCTCAAAGATCACATGCATGTTGTTATGGCCTGTTTAGCCCAAATATCGCTTTATATGAGACCTGTTCTTGGAGTTAAATACCGCTCTGGAACATTTTGTACCAGTTCGCCATTTCTCCGCCTTGGTATAGGCTGTGCACCCGCCCTTAGAAACTGGTAATTAACTTGTTACTTCATGTTTTCAAACTGATATTTTGGCAAAATTTATTCAAAATGAAGTTATTTCATGGATGGGAATAATTCCAATCAGCACGGTGGATGTCCTACTCAAATTCATGTTCAGGGAATAGTTTTTATCTTACCCTACTTACCCTCTGGGCAGATGGGTAGGAACCCGACCCTCCACTGTCTGCTCCAGATCCCAGGACTTGATTCCCACTACTATATCCTCCATTAGTTTAGCAGTCCATCCTAGGTTTCCCAGTGTTCGATAGTATCCAGTGTGGCGGGCGGTGCTGAGTTACTGGCATAACGGTAATCATTGGGAAGAACTGAACCAGCGCATGTTCTTCCCAGACGTCATGCTTATCCATTGCGCTACGAAATCACGCATTCCTTCTTTCTGCCTTGGTGGCCTCCTTACCAAAGCTCATCATTATCCACCCCAATGTTACAGTGAGACTTATGACTTGGCTGAAGCCTCCTGGAAGCGTCACTGCCGATATCAGTTCCCTCTAATTTTCTGGGGATTCCCTCTTTTTGAGCACCTTCGTAACCCTCCTTGCAAGCAGCGGAATTCTTGTAAAACCTCATTTATCAGCATCAAAGTAATACGTGTTATTGGGCATTATAGAGGAATTATGGTTCCGCTATGGGCGCAGATTTGACCGGTCAGATCATAGAACATTCAACAGACTCCCTTAAGTGACAACTCCATCGAACGCACAACATTTGCATTTGCTTTTCAATCACTTTTGCAGGGCATCCATGCATCCGAAGCGCTACCATCCATGTAGATGGGACTCAAAAAAGAACGTTTGGCTCATATTTTCCACTAAAACCTAGAGAGCCATGACTGTTCATGGCTTCGCTCACCATTCATATCTAATGAGCCAAGGAGAGCCATACTTATGGCGGTACCATACCTCTTTATGTACCTATTCGACTTTTTCTTGACCACAGTAATCTCTATGCACCGTAATGGAGTTACCGTATACATAGAATACCTCCCTCAAAGAGAGTATTGGTACGACCTGAATCTTTTTTCTATCTGCCATGCCTTTTCTTCTACACTGCGCTTCTTCCTGTCCTGCTAATAGAAAGTAATCGTGATGTCTTGCCAATGATGTCACCATTTTGGTGCAAAAACGTCACCCAAGTGACGTTGTTAAGAAATGAAAAAAGAATATGGAATTCGTAATGATTTGCACACAAACGCACACCTCACGCAATCTCCTGCTTGACGTTGCTCATTTCGGTGGACGGCATATGACTTTATTCCCAGTCAAAATTCAGAATTCTAACGAAACGTTTCGGTCTAAAGGCAAACTTTACAATGAAAACGGTTTTTGAGATTTTGCTCTAGAACAGTGACCCTCAAGGATGGCACAAGGGACGCTGTTGGGTCGAATAACAGTCTAGATAGGGCCTCATATGGGCTCCTGCTTAGTCACCGTACACTCCCAAGGGGGACGACTTCTCACGGTGTTAAAGAGGCTGTGAAGGTTGCACCATTCGCACCAGGACGCACTCGTTGCATGCAAACAGCTTATTTTGGCCAGTTATACCTGATGGCACATATTTGGACAGCTCGTCCAAATGCCCTTTTTCTTAAAGCCTCATATTTCTCCGAATACGCCGATTTCTGCGTTTTCTTAAAGATTGAAGATTAAAGTTAAGCCAATTTTGCACGATTCTGGGCTATCACTTCCATTATCCGTTTGAGCTACATACTCCAAATTGTCGTGAACTGTGGCTTTAGGTAACAGGCCTTGATTTCTCTACTTTCCCCTCCCTTGTTTACATCACGTCTTTGCCAAACAGCTTCACAGGGCTTTAGTCATGCTATCATTATCATTTCTGGTTTTTCTGCCCTTACAACCCGCTGATTCATAAGCTTGTTTATAAACTCAGGTCTGCACCACAACACTCCCGAATTCTATTATCTAAACGAAACATGACCACCCATGCTTTTGTTGTATTCCTTTCATGTCTTTCGATATAAGTTTTACTTTTCTTGTTGTGTTACGACCAGAGTTTGTGCAATGCCAAGTGGCGCACTATCATGCCCATCTTCTGAGGATCGAATCTTCTTGAACACTCGCCTACACCATCCAAGTCTTCTATGGCTTGTTGGCCGATTGGTATCAGACCCGTCTGAGAGAGCAAAAGCTCTGACTTGTACCACCACCGTAGGTCAATGTATAGCCCACATACAATACAAAACTACGATTTTGAATAAAGTCAAATGTTGTGACGCATCTCAGAAACAAATTGGAATCAAGCCAAACACCTTTTTCTACTCTTTATATTCAATTGCTTCCTGGCGGTACCCAGATGCAGATGAATTTTAAAGAGATTCATCATTTTCGCCGTTCAGCTTCTTAGGTAGAACCCTGATCATTTGAACTAACTGGTTCCACAACAAACAAGCCATTATTCGTTGAACGACCACCCCATTCGCCGAGATGATCGGAAATGTAAATTTCACGATCGTTGTAAATTAATTAATTGCATTCCAACGGGTTATGGCCTAAAAAACCGTTGCGGGAACCTCCATGACTTTTTAGAGTTTTGACTAAGAGTTGCAATGCACGGCGTATCTTTGAACTTCACTCATGGTCAAGGCGTCATATTGTAATTTCAACATATCTATCCTTTTCATCAGCAACAGTTTTTCTTTTTGCTGTTGGATTGCGCCGTGCGTTCGAATCACATTCACAATCAGTGACAAAATTGAAATATGAACTTCTTTTCAGCACCTTTGAACTGGTCATTACTTTTCCCAGTTGATGACTTACCCTTCCCACCGAGAAGGGGCTCAAATGGAATTATGGCAGTAAGAGTTCTATGGGCAACTGATAAAAATGAAGAGGGTTACATACAAAATACGACTGGCCACTTCACCTAAGGGTTTTCAAGTAAAAAAGCCCACATATTTGCCTCTGCCTTTCTTTTGGCTAGCAGCCAGTCCATCTGACGCTGATCTCTGTGCTTAGTTTCCTCTACAGCATATTTTGAACGCATTTATTCACATAACTAAGAAAACCTCACGTAAATTCGTCACTCTCACGCTTGTCCCTCGTGGCCACGCCTTTCCATGATGGCGGCCATGTGGGCCTCCCTCCCGTGGCTGGTGTCGTGTGAACGCCCCGCCCATCCATTGCTCGTTGTGTCGTCACGCACCCGTTCTATTTGGCGCCGCCCATCGTGTTCGGGACACCCCAAACACGCAGAATCATATCATCTCGGTTACAGAGTTACACGCTGGCTCTACACAATGACACTACCGGTATTTGCGAAGAAAGTGAAAAAGTTGGCATCGTTTCAACTATTCAATCTGAAACTACTACTTAATGGCGAATCAAGTAAGTTCCTTTCGTTTATGGCCATGTGCTTTTNTTTTGATCGTTTGTTATAGACAGTCTTGTTTTTGTCTGTTCTACTACTTAATAGATTATCAGCCCACTCAGCCGTTTACCCTCACAATACATTCCCTCTTCCTTCCCAGTTGACGTTTAATGCCGTTTCCTGTAGACTTCCTAATCTGTTCCCACGACCAAAACAGTCTCTTCCCGATCCGGGTGCTTCCCGAAGATGTACTGAATTCCAGGTCGCGGTTTCAACAAATTCAAGAAACACTACAAGCTCAAAGGTGAGCTCGGTCGAGGCGGTTTTGGTATCGTCTACCGTGCCATTCGTGTCTCAGACGAGCTCCCAGTTGCTGTGAAGTTCATCGATCGTCGTACAGTTCGGGAATGGGGAAAGGTATAGCAAACAGCTTTTCCCATGTCTCAATACGGTCCCCACATATAATGCCAACATTGCAGATCAATGACGAACATCTACCTATGGAAATCTGTATGTTGGCAAAATGCTCAAAAATTCGAGGTAAGCTTTTCGTACAGATTATGTAGAACTCGTCCACGTACAGTAAGCTTATCTGCTACTTCGGGCGGCCCCATATTGCATTTTTACTTCCCCATCGGCTTTTTTGCTCATTCTGTCATTAAAGACGACGAAACGAGCAAAAGGGCCGAATAGGCCGGAGGAAGGTTTATTGGAATTTCTCCTGTTTCAATCGACAAATTTCCCGATTGCTAGGAGTGAGCCCGTTCATTCTTGCTTGGCTAACTGTTGCTTTCTCTATGATTCGCAGTTGTTCCTATAATTCCTATTGTCTTCCCTGGTGCCAAAATAAGGACCAGCTGTGTCTTGGAAGTAAATCTGGGTTTTTTTTCTTTACTTTGATTCCAGAATACGATTTCTGCTGAAATTTTATAGCTCCAGTGAAACCACACCATCATTCCAGTCACGATATGCGAAATTTCATTTTCTGGGTTGTCTTGTCTTTCCGTCGTTCCTAGAAATGTTTTGGTAGCATTGGGCATTACATTTTCGTTCTTTCTTTTTCTTCCCAATTAACAATATATGTACATAGTACTTTACTTACTTAGGGGGAGTTTTTTCCAGACTTTTCCATGGGTTATACAAAAATGCAACCCAAATCGTTTATCTGCTTCTCTACCACTTTGCCTGACCAGATTTTTTGACGGTCCAGTTCATGGGCTCTGATTAACAGCTTCTGCTGCTTTTTCCTGCAACCCATGGCATTATCCCATGCCCCTAAAATGCCACTGATTGCCCTTCATCAAAAGAACTTGGGGTTAGTTTGACCTATCAATTTATTCAAGTATTCAGCACCATTAAGCCGTTTTCCAGCGCCGTTTTCATGTCTCCATAGTCTTGAAGACTCGAACTACCCCGAAAGACTTTGGGTTAGCAGATTCGTAGGAATAGACGAGTTGGAAGACAAATCTGTATTTATAGTTCTTTTGCTGCAATGAACTGATTTGACAATGGTCGACTGCTCCTAAGTTCATAGTTTCTTGAGTCTCTTGGCGCTCATCATTTACGCCTGCAGGATGCGCCCCGCATACGACTTCCATTCAGACCGTAGTAGCATTTTGAATGCGCATGTGGCCTATACAATGACTTGCGATGTACTATTTAGTGTCTTTATCATTCTCGACGAATCTGGTACTGACCAAACGGTCCCCCATAGATAGAGGGCTTTGTTGGGCTATAAGCGTGTCGATCCGATAATCATGAATATGACAGAGTGAGCCACTTGCCACTACACTACCTCCATCCCTATTGTTTCTAAGTATCCTGTAGTAATAGCCATGACAACGGAATGAGAAATTTTGATGGCCAAAGAGCACGTTTTCCACGGGGTCATATGGTCATCTAATCTATTACGTATATCAGTGCCAGGTTCATCATCAGCTGTTCCCATTCGTCCTGTTCTTCCGCTTGTCGTTGCACTTTGATCGGATTTTTATTTTAGTCCTCAATCCTAATCACGGCTCGGCATGAAGTCCATGTTTCAAACTAGTTTATTCCAAGAAAAAACTTCGAAATATGCTGATCTTCCGCCGTTAATCTTGTTTCAAGCCTCTTTTGAGTCACTGGACTGTACTGGTTACTAAATTTACACTCACGAGTTTTTGTGATTTTCAGTGAAAAGGCCCACCAAAGGGGAGGTTGGGAAGTATATTGGTATTACATCCTCACCCAAACAACCTCAAATATGTATCCCAGACCTGTGGACGGCTTGTAAAAAGAATAGAATGTGAGAAAGGTATAGAATCATTAAGTAGTAATTTTAGGTGTAATTCGTCTCCTCGATTGGTACAGTATCCCTGAAGGTTACCTGATCGTCATGGAACGACCGTATCCATGTGTCGATATGTTTGACTTCATTAAAGGACAACAAAAGCTTGATGAAGAGGTATAGCTTTCATAAAAAAAATTAGAGTATTTCCATAAGTTAACTCTACTTCCAACTCCTTTAAAACCCGTAGAGAGGTCGATTGGGCGAAAAATATTAGCACCCATATATCAGGAAAGTAAGGAATTTTCAAAATTCATCTCCATCACTTCGTCTGAGTCCTCCAAGAGGCACCTAATTCAATCAGAGATCAAAAAGCAGACGTTATGTTGAGCATGTGGGAGGAGCTACATATCGATGCGGAGCTATCTATGCATACCTTACTGTTAATGCCACTTATTGTTAGCGATGCGTTCCATGGGGACACGGGAACATTCCCAAGTCGTTCTGCCCTCTTGATCTCCCCATTGAGGAAGAAATCAGCTACTTCCTGCAGAGAACTTATTTATCAAAAGAGGCTGGAAGGAACAGTTAGTTCAAATAACATTATCCATGGGAGAGAAGCGCACCTTCTTCAGATCCAGTTCTAAATCTGCGCAAGCAGGCAACCTCCATAGCTATCCGTACAGGAAAATGTCGATGGACTGGGGACTAAAATATTATGAAATGGATGATAGCCAGTAAATGATAAAAATTTCTTCAGATGGCTCGTTTCCTCTTCCGACAAATCGCTCAAACATTGAATGAATGCTCACAAAAACGAGTTCTACATCGAGACTTGAAGGTGAGTAAAAAAGTTTCTGGAAGAATGCCCAGCAGTTTTTCTTACCCACCTCAGTTATGTCGTTGCATGAGTGTAAAGTCAGAGCTTTCCTGTCGTGTACTCGTGGTAAAAGTGACTAGATCACACTCTGCGGATTGAATCGCCTAACTCCCAGATCCGGCTTGCCTGGTAGGAGAGAAAGTCAAAAAGAGGTTAATAGAGGGGTGACGTTTATGATTAGACGGCTTACAAGCTTGATGAGCAAGGACAGGGCATAGAGCCCCTCAGCGCCCTATTCCTCATCTCCGCCGCGGAGCGGTGACCGCATCACATTTTGTTCACAAAACCTGTTTCATATTTCTGAACCTCCGAGCAATTACTCAAAAATGGATCCACCACAGAATGCCCCTTCCTGTGACCAGGGGACTAATAGAAGGGAACTAGCGATCAGTCACAATTATTAAAAAAAGATTTTCGATTAGACAAGCTGTTTCTCCCGTTATTCCCTCTAAGAAAAAATTGTGAAGAAGGTATCCCTCCCAGACTACTGGGTTTACCGTCAGACTTCTTTCTGTGGACTCCAGCACATCGAGAAATTATCATTTAAATCATTATCAATATTCGCCGCTGAAATCACATACTTTAGAGCCCTCCTTAGAAGTTGGGATGAAAATGAAACTTGGGAAGGGTTTCCTTCGAAATTTCCAATCCAATCCTGATGTTATCGCTCATACTCAAACATATCAACTCAAAAAGTACTGAACACACGTGATGGCGCATTCTTTATGCAAAAACCCCCGATCATTTGACAAGCGTTTTCTTTTTCAAACAGCATCCAAATCACTGATCACACATCACTACAGCAGAGTACTCTATACCCATTACCCATGGCTCCTCAGAAGCCCAATGAAGCTGCTGAATCGCCTACCCAATGATGAATGCCCCTATTGTCGAGTCCTCCATGTCCGGATACATC